CCATGGTTCATGATGGAACCAAGATGGTGCAACATGTTGCTAGTTAAACATCAACAAAACCACTTGGCGTACCATGTTGGCAGTTGACCATCACAAATTGACCATCACCAATTTACTCTCACCAATTTACCAACACCAATTGACCATCATCAGTTGACCATCACCAGTTGATCATCACCAATTAACCATCACCAGAAAAGAAATTGGTGCAACTTCTCCTAGATGTGGTGCAATGTTTCCTTCATGGCTTACTTATGGGGCAACACTTCCTATATGTAGCACAACTCCTTCCTATTTGATGCAACATGCACCCAAATGGCGCAACATCCCTAATGATGGAGAAACTTCCCTCTACATGATGCACCACGTTGCTCCAAGTTGCTCCAAGTTGCTCCAACCCACACCAAGTTACTCCAAGCCACTCCAAGTTGCTCTAAATCACTTTCAGTTGATCCATTTATTTGGCACTTGATCCGTTCCTTTGTCAGATCATCCATTCCTTTCTTTGATGATTCGTTCCTTTGGTATATGCTCCATGAACCCTAAGTGCTCCGTTAAGTTCTAAGTGCTCTATTTTGGACAAGACATCATACCCTAACAATGGATATTTTCATGGGTAATTCAAAGATGATAATATATACTTTTCTTAAAGTAGAGATATATAGCTCATAGTTTGCAAATTAGTTGTGCATTAGGTTCCTAAACACATCTCGTAACTGGATGCTATAAAGGATTATTCCATGTATGATTTAGTGAGTAAAAGATATGACTATATAGTCAATGTAATTCGTTCCTTTTGCCTAAATAAGGAAAAGTAATATCTTTTGGACCCCTTGATGATTTGATCTAGACATTCATGGAAGGACTTACCCGAAATAAATTTACATGTTCAATTAGTAGTCTGAATCCAGTCATCATAAATCAGAAATCGTGAAACGGAATCTTGGACCATGAGATTGATTATATCCATGTCACGTTTCCATACGATATCTTGCATAATGAAGGAGTAGTAGATCACTTATCATAGGGTCAACATTTGATTTGAATCAGTGTTCGGTAGTGGGTTTGGAAAGCAGTAGTTATTATTTGGTTACACTTGCAATTGTAGTTATAGAATTACCCAAGTGGGAGACTATTGGCTTAAGGTATCTAAGCTTATAACTGAATTTTATAAACTTGAAAATAAAATCAAAATTCTTTTTGGGCTAGCCTCATAACTAGAACTATCTAGAAATTATATTAGGAGAGTAAGAGAGAGAGGGAGAGAGAGAGAGAGAGAGAGAGAGAGTGAGAGAGAGAGAGCCAGAAATGATTTGTTAATATATTATATGGTTAATATATTAATTTGAAATATATTATTGACCTGTTACTTTATTATGTGATTATTAAATTAATATGAGATCAATTTATAAATAATTGATTTGTTAAATTATATGGTTATTTAATCAATAAGAAATCAATTAATTATTAATCAGAATGAATCTGGAATTAATTCGAGATTTATCAGAATTAACTAAAGGTCCACAGGGTAAATTTTAATTTTTCAATAGTTGAACAAAAGATACAATTTTAGAACCATCCACGGGTGGACGGTTTTGGGAGCTCTTCTAGGGTTTCCAGATGCCTTCTGAATGCTTATAAGGAAAAGATTTGAATTGAGATTAAATATATTTTTAATTAATTCAAATATAGTTTTGTCTGTAAGTTACATAAACTATAAATTGGACCCATAAGGCATCAAAATTTGTTTTTGTCTGTAAGACCCCTTGGGTATTAAATTTCGTTCATACGTTTACCTAAAAGCTTAGAAATGAAATTTCTATCCTTTTCCTCTTTCTTTCTTTCTTTCTCTTTCTTTCTTTCTTTCTCTCTCTCTCTATCTCTTCTATAGTTTCCAAGGTTCTCTCTCTCTCTCTCTCTCTCTCTCTCTCTTCTATAGTTTCCAAAGTTTTGGGTATAAGCCATTAGAGGTAGTAAGTTTTTGGTGCTTGCTTTTTGGAGGCCAATAACAAAATAAATAATATTTATTTGCTATAATAAATATAAGGTATGTAAACCCTAATCCTTCTTGTATTTTCCAAATACCTAGCGTTTATTAGGACTGTTGATGTTCATTGTTTATTTCTGTTATTTAGAGAAAACATATATCCAAAGTAGGTTACATATTAACTTACACGTTAATATTTACATGTTTTAGTAACCTACAAAACCCATTAGGTGGAAGGTCACATATGTTGATTTTCATGTTGTTTCGAATCCATTTCGACAAGTGGTGAGAAATCCCACCTTGGGATGTGCAACACAGGTGGTGCCGTTTGGGGTGTTATTGGTGTGGTTTGTTGCGGTTTTGGGTGGTGGATTGTTTTTTTTTGTGTTTGTGTATGTGGACTCGTTGTTGGGTTGAATGAACGAATTAAAAGTGAAATCTATAATTTGTTTTCTATTTTCTATTTTATTCTTTTCTTTTGTGGTTTTTGTATTTATTTAATTAATCAGAAGAATAATGATCATTAGTGCCGATGGGTGCACCGCTAAAGGTCCCGAATGTCGCTGCTAAAGGGTCGCCACTGTTGGCTCGTTGCTAATACTCCAATTGTCGCCGCTAATGCTTACTATCGCCACTAATGCCCTGTCACTACTAATACTGTCTGTCGCCGTTAAAAATGTCGCCGCTAATTGTAGTTTTCTCTTTTCTTTTTAGTTTTTAAAAACATTTTTCCATATACAAAACAAATGTTATAAAATTATAAAAACTTTTAAAAAAATACAAAAAATGTTATAAAAACATATAACCAAAAACACATATATACATACATAATCCACATATAAACACACACAAACACACACACACACACACACACACATATATATATATATATATATATATATATATATATATATATATATATATATATATATATCAAGGTTGTAAAAATTGATTGACGTTAGCTAGTCGGTGGACTAGGATTAAGGGATTAATCGGCTAGGTGGAGATTAATCAGGGTATAAATCGGAGATCATTAATTGCTAATTTAATAGATTTCAAAAAATCAAATATGACTAATATCATATAAAAGTTCGTAAATACCATTAATATCATAACAAAATAGGTTAATATGATAAATACAACACTAATCATACATCAAATAGTTTTTATTGAGATATAACTTCTTCAAAGTGTTAAAATTTAATCGGGTTCTACTATTTCGGTCATTGTATATGTATGGATTAATCGCTAGATGTCATTTAATCGGTCGAGTAGCGCCTAGGGATTAATCGGAGATTAATCGGGACCTAATCAAGATTTCTACAACAATGATATATATATATATATATATATATATATATATATATATATATATATATATATATATATGATATAGATCCGGTAAGAAATTTTTTTTAGTAGGAAGGTAAAAAGTTTTTTTTTCTACATATTTTTTTGACGAACAAAAAAAATGAATCACTAGATGATTCATTTGTAAGATGATTCACAAGAAAAAATTCTCAAAAAAACATCTATATGATTCACTTTTAAGTAAATTAAGAAAAAATTCACTTTTATGATAATTTTAGTGAATAACAACAAAATCATTATATAAATGAATCATCGAGATGTTTTTTTGAGAATTTTTTCTTGTGAATCATCTTACAAATGAATCATCTAATGATTCATTTTGTTTGTTCGCGAAAAAAATATGTAGAAAAAAAACTTCTTACCTTCCTACCAAAAATTTCCTTCTTATTTGATCTTGACTCTATATATATATATATATATATATATATATATATATATATATATATATATATATATATATATATATATATATATACACACACACACACACAGCCACACACGCATACAAATAAACATACATATACAAAATACACATTATACATACAAAATTTAAAATAAACATATATAAAACATGTGCTCGTGTGTAATATGGAGGAGAAGCGTGGTGGTCGACTGGTGGTGGTATTCCGACAGTAAGACCAATTTTCTGGCAATTTTCCGGCAGACAACAACAAATTTCGGTAGATCTTCAACATTTCCGGTAAGGGATTAATACAATCCGATACTACCAAAGTGTATGTCACATTGGGAGACGATAAAGAATAAAAAAACAAAAAAGAATGAGTTGCTGCCATAGTGGTGACAAAGAGAAATATGTTCTCAGAAGAGGGAAGAATGAGTTGACGGGGGTTATATCTGCGAAGGGAATTAGTAGCGATGACTTTTAGCGGTGACATATAGAGTATTAGCAGCGACGTATAGAGTATTCACGGCAACACAATTTTTGAGTCTTATTAGCCACAACTTTGGGGGGAAATTTTGGCTGTCAAAATTTTCGAGTATTAGCGGCGACACCGTTACCCTATTGGTGGCGCCGTTATTGGTATACATTATCGATTTCTGGTCCTTGTATTTTGCACAAAATCAACGGATAATATTTCAACTCATATTTCGTCGTGGATCGGGTCGGTAGCTATTAGCGGCGACATATAATGCGACAACCACCTTTAGCGGCGGCACAACAGATTACAAAAACCATAATGGTTGTGAACCCAATTCAAAATAAATTTCATTACATTTCTTCTTGGCAAATTAAAAGCATATTATTAAACAGAAAAACCGAAAAGAACCTTTAGTATACATGATTATACTAGTCAACAATATAAAATACGTTATTATATATCCATCTAACCAATCAAAATGAATTTGATCGATATTGTTGGAACCATGATCATATGATAGATCTCATAATGAATTTGATCGATATTGTTGGAACCATGATCATATGATAGATCTCATAAAAAAATAATATTGATCTCTTTACAAGCTCACACAAAACAAACGGATCAGGATTTGCTTTGCTTGCTTCACTTTAACACACAAAACTATGAAAATTAACCTTAAGTTATAAACTTTTCTTTCTTTTGGGGGGTTTATGATGATGATAATTCATGAGAAAGAGATAACATATACAACCATTTTTGTGCAGCAACTGTGGGGGTTGTGGTGGGGTTAGGAGTAGTCAAACATTGAATCTTTGCTGTGGGAATCCTGATGATGCTGCAGCACTTTTTGCATACATTTGGTGTAGAGGAGGTGCATTCGCATTCATATTATTTTCACCAATTGAAGCCGCAGATAAATTATTTCCTCCTTGCATTGTGCTGCTTGAAAACTGCATCTGCATTTCATCATATTAAAGAAAATATATATATATATATATATATATATATATATATATATATATATATATATATATATATATATATATATATATATATATATATATATATTATTAAATCTCGAAAAAGACTGTAATAAAGAAGAAACTGGTTAAAACACAAGATTATGTGCTTAAAAAAGACGGAATTCACTTTATTCTTTATTGTTCGAGATTATTCTCAAAAGTATAAATACTATAATATATGGTTCGACATTAAATAACCCAAATTTTTTTTATCACTTTAGAATCCATTGAACACCAAGAACCGATATCAGCTAGCTAATTAGGGTTTTAAGTCAATATTGAAAAACTATGCTGTTCAAAATAAAAATAAATGAATAACTGAACCAAGAAAACAACTATATGTAATATGTTTTAATAAGATTATGCAAAAACACTATCTTTATGTAGGCTTAGCGTATATATATATATATATATATATATATATATATATATATATATATATATATATATATATATATATATATATATATATATATATATATATATATAAGATTATTCTAATGCAATGCACGATTTCCACAACAATTTATAATAATCTATAAAACTACGAAAAGAACTGGATAATGATTATGTAATACTTAAAATGGGTTGGATATTAACACGAACAAGAAAGTGAGGGGTGACTCACTTGATGACTCAATGAGTTGAAGATCGGTGGATCAAACATATTACTATGCATAGACGAGTCAACGGGTCTCATAAAATGTTTGTATCCACGTATGTCGTTCGGAATATTAAAAGATTCAAGATTTCTATGGTCCATAAGCTGCGATGTCCTAGTCTGATTCCATCCACTAGGTCTAAACCCAAGTTGGATTGTGTCAGAATGATGATGATCCCTTGTAAAATGACCATTTTCTCCTCCCTCATTCATCATATTTGAAGCCGAGCCACCACCTAGGCTTAAATCAAGATTATGGTCCGATGATATATTGCTATCTTTATTGCTATTGTTTGAGCATTCTGTACAAATAAATGAACATATTTACGTTTATTAAATAAAGATCCCCGAAATTAAGTTTAAAAAAAAAACGTGACATATAACATATTATACATTACCAGTCAAATTGAGCTCATTGTCATATATACTTGAATCAAAATTGGTAACAGCGGCTTTTCCATTACATTTGATAGCAGCCTTGTCATATGCCCTAGATAAGATCATAAGAAGATTACGATTTCATTCAAGACCCTTGGAGTTTAAGCTTTTGACAATAAGGCCCTTTGAAAATCAATAAATTGCTATTTTACCTGGCTGCTTCAACTTCTGTATCAAAGAGACCCAGATACACATACCTATTAAAGAACATAAATATAAAGCATCAAACTTGATAAACGAAACATCATTTATTAATCAACTAAAAAAGGAAATAAATCTAAAGTGTCTGGTTTGTTGATCTACTTGCTATCAAAAAAAAGGAAAAGCATCTATGAGTAACAACAAAAACAAAAAGAAAAGGAAAAAAGAACTAACTTGAAAGCAAAGAGAAGAATGTGTTGAGTAGCTACATAGGTAGCTATACATATAGGCATCTCCAAAATTATATAAATAAATACAATGACACTCTTTCTCTTTTGTTAAAATATCTAAAATATATATATCCGAACTACAAGTATACAAACTTATTATATAAATACAAATGTAAAGAAAGATTGATATATAAATAAAAACGTTGTTACTTTATGGAGATTTTCTATTACTATTTACATTGAATGTACCATGATGTATTATTATATGATCACATGTATAAGCAAATTGTTGTCTTTAAAATTTGAAACAGTTTGCCTCGTGAATAAGCAATAGAAAAGGAAAAACATACTTTTTGCCTAAAAATTGGCCCATTCTAGCTTCCCATCTACCACATTTATGCAAAGTTACACCTCTGTATTTTGAACTCCCTCTTGGAAATCCAGTACTTTGTCTCCTTAGTACATGCACAAACTCTTCCTTTGTTAGAGTGCTCATCTGTTTTTGATGTTTTCACAACACCTTCTTAAATATTAGTAACGTGTTTCTCGAATACCCACACACTAGAAGTGAAAAACACACATAGTTAAGAAGATTATGAATTAATTAACCTGTTTTACGTCGTCTTCATAATCTTCAAGATTAAAGTTTATATCAGCTTCCACTCCTCGAAACTTAATCGCTGCCCTATCGTATGCACTGCAACCATGATATATACGCTAGCTTTGATTAATTATATTTAATCTACATTTTATGGTGATTAATTAATTGATTAAAAATAAATAAATAAATAAATAAAAGAAATTAATGTTATCTATACGGTGCTCACCGTGCCGCTGCGTGTGCAGTATCAAATCCACCTATTTTACATTGGAGAAATACAAATTAATCATTTATTATATTATTTTTGTTAAATAAAATATTGAGAAATAGATATAAGAAAGAAGAAACTAATTAAAATGCAGTCGTACCTAGATAAACTTGTTTTCCACAATCCCTGAATCATGCAGAAATAATAATAATATAATTAGTTCTGTAAGAAGGGATTAATGATAATATCGAGTGTTTTTTTTATGAGCAATAATTTGTTTATAAACGTTTAAAATATATATATATTAAAATATTAAAATGTGGGATAATGCATTGGAAATAGAAGTAGAAGAAAATAGTAGATGAATAAAGAAAGGAGGAAAAATGGTAAAATAGGTAACTTTGTAAAGCGAAACGGAAGCAAATTATACAATACCATATATGTGATTCCCATCGGCCGGTTCGCCGGTAAAAGGTGACTCCACGGTACTGAGAGCTTCTAGAACGCGGCCCACGGCGGCTTTTCTTCAGCGGCTGAGGAACAATGGCGGCGGGGGTAGTTTTTCCGAGGAAACCATCTGCTGTGGCGGCGACACCATCTAAAGGATCGGATGACTGGTGGCAGAATTTAACACCAAACCAGTGAGCAGTCGGGAAAGTCGTAGCCGGCGAGATCAACCCTTCACCAACTCCGCCGGAGGTCGTGGGTCCCACCTCGGAATCATCAACCGGGAAAAACTGTCGTGTGACTGGAGGATCGCTGTCCCAAGATGAGTTTTCCGTCATAGAAAAACCAAACAACCTCCCATCACCTGTACTACTTCGTTTCCTTGGACTCCCTTTCTCCGATTCCTCCTCCTCGGATCCCCCATCTTCCTCCATAACAACGGCGGAGGAACTTGAATTCGATATCGACCCCACCCCTTTACCCTTATTAGTACTGTTACTATCCTCTTCATCCCCTTCTACTGGTGAAGAACATCCCCTCCGATCAGGAAACCCGTTTAGATCCCACATTTCTCCCTCCAAAACCAACAAAGAAAACGAAAAATTGATAACAAAAACCTGTGTTCTCTCTCTCTCTCTCTCTCTCTCTCTCTCTCTCTCTCTCTCTCTCTCTCTCTCTCTTTCTCTCTCTCTAGACGTTAGATATATATAATGATTAAAATGGGATTGTTATCTTTTTTATTCTTCTTCTTTTCTGGGTAGGTCTAAAAAGAAAGACAAAGAACAAGAAACCTAGCTAGGGTTTCATAGGATGAAGGTGAGCTATATAGATACATATTGATAAACACACACATAGGGTAGATGGGGTGTGGGTGCATCTCCCACTAGATCTTGTGTGTGAGTGAAATCTCTCTGGTCAATACAACCAACTGCCGAATACAGCATGGACGAGGCCAGTTTTCATTAGCCCTTAGCCGAAAGCAGCAAATCCATCTCCCTCCTTTCCTATTCTCTCTCTCTAACTATATTAAAGGTGTATGTGTGTGTATATGTGTGTTTCTCTTTGTGTTCTTGTGAACCCGTTTTCTCTTTGTTTGAATTGTACTACTTTACCCAATTTGAAATCTATCTATCCTCCTTGTAATCTTCTCATTTACACACTATATGCATATATAAATATATTGATTTTAGAGAGAGAAAGAGCAGCAGAGAGAGAAAGAGAGAACCATCTCTTTCTTAGACAGCTTTCCGACGTTAACCAAATCGAAAAAAGAAGTATAATATGTATAATGGGAATAATAATAACAAGTCACAAATGAAAACACTTTAGTTTTTGTCTGTTTTTTCTCTCTCTACAATTATATTATATATCCCGGAAAGGAAATCGACAACACCAAGACTAGAAAGATGACTAATTACTCAATTTCCTTAATTAGTTATTGTTAATTAATTATATGTGTCTGTACTATGTATCATCACACATTACCTCTCATTCATTCATTCATTCAATTTTCAAAACATCAATATCAACCCTTCCTTTTTACCATTACAACCATTTTCGCCTTTTCTCTATTTCTTTCCTACCATAGTATTCTTTTTCTGTTAATTTAGTAAGATGAACTTAGACCTTGTTGGTGCTTCAAAGTAGGATCCAGATGACTATAGATGCTAATTTAAATATATCTCCGCTGATACAAAACACACCCGAAGGACTATCGAATAATATTTGGTCTAGTAAATAAGTGTAAACCCAACCACTAGGTTGGTATTAAAAACTTATTTATTTTAAGACGAAATAGCCTTCTTTGCGACACATGATTTTAAGGAAACACTTATCCATTTTATTTTTTAAGTGTCAACCGAATTTTAGACAACTATATGATCAAAATTAAAGATCCACACTTAATTTTTAAGGGAAAATGACACATACGATTCGTGTGTATCAACTTTCTAAGGTTTATCTTTTTAGTCATTTAACATTTTTTTTGTTGCTTGATGAGGGAAGGAAGTCATTTTCGTCGGCTCGATTACGTCCTTTTACCAAAATGAAGGGGTTATCAGGTTACCCATTTGCTACATGGACATTTGTTAACCAATTTTTTTTTTCTATATTGACTTTGAGTTTCCCTTACCCTTGAACCCAAATCTATTGACCGGAGCAAAACCCACGTGCATCAACACATCATCTGTTGATCGTAGCAAATATAGAAATTTACCTTCCTCCGGTCTTAGTGTCGAACCACCGTTGTGGAGCCACTGACCACCGCGGCCCCACCGAAAACCACCCTGTTCCGTCTTGGTTGAGCCCCACAATCATTCCTTTCCTGATTCTATCGGGCTAGCTATGGTGCACCACTCTACGCCACTCTCCCTCGTCTCCTTACTTCACCAGCGAAGAGGACCACCACAGTCGACGGTGGCAAACTCTCTGCTTCCTTTTTACATAACCCACCACCATAAATGCTCCAATATTGTCATTGTTTTTCCCTTGGTCACTCTTCGATTAGCCAACAGTAACGAAGCAGTAAATCCGTCATTGTCATCGCAGCCCTCCGCCATCGTCAACCGCTGTCTCCATTGTAATTTACAACACCACCTGCCGTTGTCGTTGCCCTTTTACCGTCACTGCAGTTTCAGCCCCACCACTGCCCGTTCCTGCTGCTGTTAGTAAAACCACCACTATCGTTTCTTTGGTGCTATTTGGAAATTTCTCTACAAATCAATTTACTGAATGCCACTGTTAATGAGGTCTTGAAGGTTTTTGCAAATCACGTAGTTAAGGTTTTTTCATATTTAAGACAAATCAACGATTGTGTTTTTCTGAATTTTGTACTCAAATTTCGGTTGGATATCTCAATTGATTTTGTGAAACGTTGAAGGAGACAAGATGGAGAAGTTTGGCTTACTTGACTTTTAATTTTGACTATTTGGCTGACTTAGCTTTTAAAATTAGTAAAATCAGTTTTTATATGTGTCATGTGGCATATATACCTGCTAGTTTAGATAACAATAATAAAAAATCAGGTTGTTCACAATTTTGTTCCTTTCTAAAACCACAAAAAAAAAATAAATAAATAAATAAAAAAAAACAAAACAAATTAAGTGATTAAAAGAATAAATTCTAGAAAGTTCATACTTCATATGTAACATTTTCCCTAATTTTTAACACATGTTTTTCATAAGTACTATGCCCCACTTCCTTTTTTACAACTTTGACTAATAAAACAATTTCTAGTTTCAACTTTCACAAGGTCCATTCTTTACATAACGTTAAATGTTTAAGTCAAATGTTTGGTCAAAATACTTCAGTTTTTCTATAAATAATATAATCAAATCAGCATATGTTTCCCAACAAATGGTTGTAATATATAACATCTCATTTTCTGAATTAGTAATGATAAAATTGGGTGTAATTTTCTTTTAAGAAGAGTTAGTTATGTAATAAAAACTCTTCTAAAGGTTAGTAAAATAGTGCAATGAGAAATTTCTATTGTTTTGAGAATTAACTTGTTTATAGTTTTTATAAACTTTTAACCTATGAAAGTCTGACTTAATAAGGTCAAAATGTGTTATTCTTGATATTGAAATGAAGACATGATTATATAGAATGTGTGACCAAAAGAGTCAACTAAAACTTAGTATGTATGAGAAAGTTCGAAGCATTTGAAGAATCGAGATTATCTTGGGCTTATGCTAGTGAAGTACATTGCAGAAATGGAAAAAATTAAGGATAAATGGGTCATGTGTAACATTACACGGACTGTGTAATGGCTTCGAGGTGCAGATGCTTTAGTTATAAAAATACATTGCTCATATGCTTTAGCTATTAAGTACATTGCTCAAACTAACAAGCTTCATTTATTTACTCGTACGAGGACATCTATCCTTGTATAATTTTGTAGTTTATGATTCTTTTAATAACTAATTGTATATTACCGTGTTAATTGATTCCAAGTTGTTTTGTTTTATAAAAAAAATGAAAAAAGAATTGTTGTAATTTGTATTAGAAATTATCCGAACATATCCATTATGTTATTAGATATATTGAAGAGAAGTATAAATAAAATCAAGGCCTAATCCCTTAAAAAACATATGGTTATAACCAACTCATTGACATAAAAATATTGGATGATTGGAGTAACCTCGCGACGGTTATACATTCATAATCTTCCTTGTATAATAAACGCGTAATTTTTTTTCTTCAACTAATTGTATTTAGGATTTACATGAAAAACATACAACACCGATCACCGTACACCATTCTGAAAAAACTTATGTCCATACATATATACCACGGAGAAGTATACCCATGAGTTTGTAAAAAGTTTTAAGTTTTCTCAAATGCATGGGAGTATTACTTTATTGTCATATATATATAAAATCCAAAAAGTGTCATCGGCCGTTAACCGCTAAAAGTGACAGAAATCAAGTATAATAATCTATATATATATATATATATATATATATATATATATATATATATATATATATATATATATATGTATATATATATATATATATCATGGTTGTAAAAATCGATTTAGGCGGCCGATTACGGCGCCTGGCGGCCTCCAATCCCGTACGAATAGGTGTTAGATGGTTAATTAATCGGCATTGATCAATATCGGTAAAAACTATCCAATTCGGTCCATATCAAACTAAGTCGAAACAATTCAGACACCAGTAGTGATTCCAGCCCACACTAAAGTCGTCGGCCCAATGGAGCCAACAACCTAAAGCACAGTTGTTTTACATTTCGAAGGAGATTGTCGCTCCTTTTTAAGAATATCTCTACATATTATTCCCCCCCCCCCCCCCCCCTCCCAGCGATGTGGGATGTGGGAGTGGTGGTTGAATATTTCTTCTTCTCTTATTGTTAATTCACGTAACAGGTGGTTGAAGGGTTGAGCTTCGGTTTTTAATGGTGGTTTCGAGTAGTGGTTGAACTCCTCAATTGCTGCTAGGGTTCCTTCCGATTTTTCCATTCCATCGCATTCAGTCTAACTCTGGCTCCTCCAATGATGACGACTCTGACTCTTCCCCTGCTCGCCACCATAGCCATCCTCTCTGACTTCTGCCATTGTCTCTGTTGTTCAGTCTTCTGCTACAAATATGCTTCTGGGTACTGCACTCGAAGCGTTGGGAGTCTGCTCTGAAGGTGATTCCTTATTAAGTTCTCAAAGGGTTAGCCATCGTCTCTAACTTCACACCTATTTTGAAGTTTGTGTAATTGAATTCATTTTTAGGTTAATTGTTAAGGTTGAGTTCACACCTAGTTCATAACTATTTCACACCTTGTATGAGATTACTGTTTCTCAGGTTCATTGTAATTGAATGTCATAGGATGTTTCTGCAACTAAATGTCATAGGATGTTTCTGCATCAATTGAATCCGACTTCACACATATTTCAAAGGATTGATGCACACAAGTTGTTTGATTAAAATCCTGAAAGAGTTCATTGTTGTTCTTGGCGGAAGTAGCTAGAAATGTTGATAAGGACTTCAATATGATGAATCTTTTTATGGGTTTTGAGCATTCTAACACTTCCTAAGTGTACATGCAACCCTAATAACCTTGAATCTATGTTTTCTCTATATACATGCAAATTTCTTTTTCAAGGTTATTTCCTAACTAGAATGGCATGGGGAATATATGAAACATAAAAACTAGTAGAAATACATACCTTGTTGTT